AATCCTTGGACATCTTAATGGAAACTTGAACTACAAGAGAAAAAAAATGGAACGGGAAACATGTATAGATGCACTTAGGGGTAATAGAAAAGTCTCGTCAGGAGCCTTCTATGTAAGCACAATAATAATTTTTCAATGCTCCCTCCATTCACAATTGATCATCATATTAGGCATGTGCAGCGATACCAAGGGACAAATAAATCATGTAGCAATAGCATCGATCAAAGTGGCAATGTCACAGTGTTGGTTCGGTAGCCCGCGCATGGCGCATGACAAACGGAAGTAGCGGAGGGATTTAAACTAATCTCGCAATAATCACTCGTGTGAGACAAATACACAGTACAATGTTTTATAACAGATGAAAGTAAAGACTAAACAAACCTTGAGCTCGGCTCCTGAAGCCCCATTCATCTTTTCAGCGATCTTTTTCAGATCAATACCACGCATCAAGTTCATTTTTCTTGAATGAATCTTCAAGATATCAAAGCGTGACTGAAAGCAAAAGATAAGCGCATCATCAACACAAGAAATCATGGAAAAATTAACACAAACAATATACAGTAAGTTATCAGCACTTACATCCTCATTAGGATTAGGAAATTCAATTTTCCTGTCTATGCGACCAGGCCTCAGAAGGGCCTGATCCAAGATGTCTATCCTATTTGTTGCCATCAGAACCTGCATGGAACATTTAACGTGTCACAATAAACTCCTTCACGGTTATTAATCGGCACATATAACATATGCAAAGCAGTGGCACACCTTTATTTTGTTTGATGCTTCAAAACCATCAAGTTGGTTCAGAAGCTCAAGCATGGTTCGCTGGACTTCACTGTCACCGTTGCCAGTTCCAGACTCCATCCTAGCAGATCCAATGGAGTCTATTTCATCCATGAAAATAATGGATGGTGCATGTTCCCTGTAATATGTTAACCAAACAATTAAGCCTACACTGACAACAGAGTGCATATGTAGAACTATAGTTCAGATTGCAAGCCAATAATGCTTTCACTATAATAGAAGAACTCAGGGTATTTTTGCTCAGTTTACCTGGCCATAACAAAGAGTTCACGGACCATCCGAGAACCCTCACCAATGTACTTCTGAACTAACTCGGAACCAGACACCCTGATGAAGGTGCAGTCAGTGTGATGAGCAACTGCACGTGCCAACAATGTTTTTCCTGTGCCTGGAGGGCCATAGAGAAGGACACCCTGAAAAAAGAGAGTTAATATTTTCTGCTAATACTTAAAAATAGGATCGTTTAAGATGATATTGTTAAGAAGTTCAAACCTTTGGTTGGGCAATTCCAAGACTCTCAAATAGCTCTGGATGTTTGATAGGAAGTTCAATGACCTAAAAGTTGAGTTCATGAGTCAGAATGTGCTATATGCGATGCATCAATAGTACATTGAAATTATATACAAACCTCTTTGATCTCTTTGATTTGCTGATCAAGACCTCCAATCATATCATAAGTAGAATCAGGAACCTTCTCAACTTTCATAAGATTGACCAACGGATCAACTTTGCTTGGCAGGATCAAATGAAGCATATAGCTATCATTTCGAAGAGCAACTCTTGTTGAAGGTGTGATCTTTGTAATATCAATGCTTTTATCAATATCCACCACATATTTGCCTTCTGGATGTACCTGAATAATTATATTGAGAAGTTAATAGCACTGGTAAACAGAAATTTAGGATTTCCATTACAAAAAGGGCTAACAGAACCAAATGACAATGTGACAGATCGTGAGCATGTCAATACAGTCACATCAAGCTATTAATAAATAAATATAAAAAGCCAAACAAGAAACCAAGAAATTTGCACTTCCACATATAGTCACAGCCATAGGCCTAAGCATTCACATTTTTACAATAACAAGATAGGAGTACTTGAGATTCAGAAGCACTTATGGGCTTGCCAGAGTAATAACATGAGTTTCATGTATGGAGTTCTGTGAGTTCTGGATCACCCTTTTTATGCATAACTGCAGAGTTGTCTATAAGAGCAGAAATAATGCTCATTTATGGGCTATTAAATATGACAAGCTGAAGTCAATCAGGATTAATAAGGTAGTTAAGCAAAGTTGACTATGTATGGTGAACTAGAAGATTGTTATTGTCACAGCACATAGAAAAATTTACAACAGAGAGTGAATGATAGACAACCACAAGAGATGGATCAAATGCTAGGTTTGATGCTTCAACCAATCAAAATTAAGTAATAAGTCCATGGACAAGTAATAAAATTGGCACACCTAAAGTATTGATCATAGAAAAGATCATGTAAAAGAATAAAGAGAATGTACCTTCACTAGAACCTTTGATTTACCCATGACCTTCACCACCTCACCAACATACGAGCCAGGTTCTTGAAGCAACTGCAGCTCTTCCCTGAGCATTCTAACTGCAAGATGAAATTGCACAACATATTTAGAGGGAAATAGTAAAGAAGAAAAAGATAACATTTCACATGCATCAAGTAGAACTCCACAAATCAAGGATAGAATATTCACACTTTACAGAGATTCCTAATATAGGTATAGTTCTATATTGCTAGAAATCACACTGAAATGGAAAATAAGGAGTACAGGAACCCCACTTAATCATGTTCGTATAGAGGGAGTTCAGTTTCGGATTCTCAATATGAAACAATGCATTAGAAAGTTAAAAGTAACACAAAATCCTCATCTGAAAGGCAACATGGAACAATTTCTGAAAAACTAAGAACATTTTTGCAACCAAATAAAAGAAATGCTTGAAAGGCAGAACTGCCGTTTATTTACTCACAACTCGAGAACATCGGTGTATACCAGTAGGCAATAGACATTCAATGCAATCAAGAAACTGACGATGTTCAAATTTGCTGCCTAAGTGGTGCCCAAGCGCAGCTAAACAAAACTATCGCATGTATATAGTTTCCAACTCAAACTGACTACGGCAATAGACAGTCTGCCGTTTAAACATCAATACACGACTAAAGCAGATGGCTCCATTTGATGCAAAATCAACTATCCTGTAAAATACTAGACAATGGAGGAAAAGGGAACAATCGAAATCTGACAAAAAGTTGTCAAGATAAGCAAATGGCCAACTATAGCGCAACTAGATTTGGCATCCAAGCGCACATAAACTAACTGATCTAGAGATGCACAACTAAAGCAGATAATAGCTACATCTAATGCAAATCAAGAAAAAATATCCTGCAAAATACTACATAATTGATCAAAATGGGGGCCACCAAAATTTGACGGAAGTTCTAAAGATCAGCATATGGCCAACCAGCAGCTCAACTAACTAAAAAAAAATCATGCCTGTGGCTACAAATGCGTGCCATACAAGTACGCTAGGGTTCCCTAATTGCCTAACGGGTTTGGCCCCGAGAGTTCTTGCCCAAACATCGCAACTAAAGATCGCGCCTTTGGCTACGATCCGCACACACACCCACGGAGTAAACCTAGGTTTTCCACCAACGCACGCGCCGATCCAATTCGGCCACATCAAGCCGCGGACAGCATCGCACCCACACGGTGATACAGCTAGGGTTACGTCACCTCGGGAGTTGAGGTCGTTGCGCTGGGCCTCGAGGCGGTTGAGGTTGTGCGTCTTCTGCCGGATCTGGAGCTGCAGGTCGTGGATGTGCTGCAGGTAGTACTGCCGCAGCCCCTCCCCACCTCCTCCTCCGGCGCCGCCCCTCCCCTTCGCCGCCGCAGCCTCGTCGCCGCCCGCCGCGGGAGGGGGCTTGGAGATGTCCATCGCCACCGTGGCCATCGCCGCCGCCGCCGAGTCGCTCGCTTTGTGTGTGGGGCTTGGCTCGGGTGGGGTTTCTTCTTCTTCTTGCGGTGGAAGAAAGGGAAGAAGAAGACGGCCGCGGAGCGGAGGTGGGTGGGTTTGGGTTTGCTTGCTTGCTGGGTTGGGTCTCCCTCGTGCTCTGCTTGTGTGGCTGCGTGTTTATAGGGTGAGGAACTCGCTGCAAACGAAGCCGCGAGGCCGGCCCATGTGGAATTCGGAATTGGATTGGATCACAATACAAAAATACTGCTCCTACGAAACAAAGAGTTCTGAGAAAATAAAATCTTTTTTTAGGCAATTTTTTTTAAATAAAACATGGTACAAACGAAGGCGCTTATAACGCGCGCACACTCTCTATGAGCATCTATGAAAGACTGTGCCTAACATATCTTAAGATTTGCAAAGTCACCACGGACCATCTTGTTATCGATAGAGGGTGTGTTTGGATAATGGGTTATAAGAGGTGGGATTGAGAAATGGAAATGAATAGAGGGATAGGATGAAATGGAGTGAGAAAAATAGATGGCTAGGATTGAAACTTACCCTTTGAGGGTGGGAAATCATATCCCAAACCCATTATCTAAACATGGCCTAAGAGTAAATTGCATCTTGGGTCTGTTTTTATTACCGTAGTTGCATCTTGGACTAGGTGTAAATCAAACTTTTCACTTTAGGCTAGGTATCTTTACATGTTGGTTCAATTTAGACCCTCTTCTTCTTCCTCCAAGTCTCTCTCTCTCCCTTCTCTTTCTGTATAGCTCAAAGCACGGTAATGTAGCTCAAGCAGGAGCAACACAAAAAAGGAAAAGCTTGGCTCATATGTAATTGAGGCTGAGCATAAGTGCAGGATTCAACTAATCGTACGCTAATGACTTACCAAATTTTACGTATCTTTTCGGTCTTTACATTTTCCTCTCATTTTAATCTATTTATCGTGGATCCCATTCCGATGAAAACAGATCTCTAACTTTATACAGTCTGCAGTTGAGTGTCACTGACATATAGAACATATCAAAAGTGGGGCGGCCCACGTGTCAGTGGCACCAAGTCAGGAGAGTCTCGTCCCATTCGGATGCCCTAGCTCAAGTCCTCAATCAAGGAACAAGACAGCCCCTCTACCACCGGATCAAAATCCAACGGCCACAAAACAACCTCCCCTCCACACACACACACACACACATCCCCGTCCGTCTTCCTCCTCCCCTCGACGCTCCCACTCCCACCGGAGCGCGGCGACCGGAGCACCCCATCTCCGACGCGCTATATAAACCCCTCCTCCCCCCGGCTCTCCGTCCCCCATCGCTGTGATTACCCACCACAATAAAACCAATCTAACCCCGCCTGCAGATCCGCTCCATCGATTCCCTCCCTAAATCCTCCGCCATTTTTTTGTTTGATCGGAGCTTAGGGCTAGCGCTACCTCCGCCGCGCGGCGCCGTGTTAGGTTTTATAGGCAGCAGCGGCCGCCGCGCGGTTGGTAGGGCTAGGGTTTTGGGGGTGGTGGTGGTCTGGAGTTGCGGGGTGGGGATGGATCGGAAGAAGGCGGGGGTGCCGCTCGTGTGCCACGGCCACTCGCGGCCGGTGGTGGACCTCTTCTACAGCCCCGTCACGCCCGACGGCTGCTTCCTCATCAGCGCGAGCAAGGGTAAACGCGCGCGTGTTCCCTGACGATTTTTGCTTTGCTCTGATTGCTTGCTCTGGATTCGTTGGGACTTGGGAGGCCGATGCGTTGCAATGCGATTGTTTTGTAGTACGGCGCCTGATAGATAATGGTATGCTGTATTGCAAATGTGATTGGTGCAGCTCGGCTTTGTGTCGGTTTTCAGTAGGCGCTGCTTGAGCCCTTGAGGTTGGACCATAAATAATTGTCGGTAGCTGAAGCAGATTGACCATGTCAAATAGTTCAGGTTGTTTAGTAAGAAGCTCAATGACCTGAAATTTTGAATTCAAGTAACAGAATGCGTTGAATGTGATGCATCAAAAGTGCATCGAAGGTTAAACCTGAACATACACTCTATTCATTGAGACATGGGACCCATCTGTTAGTTGTTCACATGTCTACAGCATCCATTTTACTTGGATGGTCTGATTTTCACCTATGCAAAATAAAAAATAAAAAAGATGAGGGACCGGTATGATGTTGTGCCCGGCTTGAATGTATCATAGGGAGTAAATTCTTCCTTAAAGAGAAATGGATATTTTTATGCTTATGCTTTGTTTATTTTTTTTTGTCTAAATTTATAATTCTTCTTTGGGTTAATCTCAACAACAATTCCTGCCAACCTTTAGCTTGATATCCCATGTGCTACTCTTATCTCAACAGCAACATTGATCTCTTTTTATAAATTGATCCACTGCGATAATTCGAATTCTAAGCATTAAATAAATTCGGCCACTGCACTGCTATTATTTGGTAGATTCGCTTCTTGTGGATATTGGATACAGAGTCTAGGGAAGTGTACTCCCCCTCCCCGCCCCTGAGACTTGACACCATACAGTGGAAAGTAATGCTGTTAGAATCTTCCATTTATATGCTTCACTTCTTGTTGGATTAATTCTTCTACTCTTTATGTCGTTGATATTGATTGATATTATCTTTCATTTCTTTCCAGACTCAAACCCAATGATTCGCAATGGTGATACTGGAGATTGGATTGGGACCTTTGAAGGTCACAAAGGTGCTGTTTGGAGCTGTTGCCTTGACACCAATGCTCTACGTGCCGCCTCTGGTTCTGCTGACTTCTCAGCGTATGGTTCTTGCCTGTTAAGTTGCATTGGTGTTAATTGTAAATATGTTCTTTCTGTGTAATGCAATGAGTTTTTCTCCGGAGCGAGCATCTAATGATCACTTGATTGTTATCTAGTGTAGTTCTTGGTAGTGTTGCTACGATATAAATGCTGGCATGTTATCCATTGTGGTGGTATTGGAAATTGACAAATATTATGTGTTGTTGTTTCCTGGAGACTTGAGTGGATAGGAAATGGTAGCTAATTACTAGATAGTTCCCACATGTTAATATACATAGTACAGACCATTTTACTTAGTTTGATGTCAAACTGGTATGCTCCCATTGATAGGAAATGTTAACCAATTACTAGATAGTTCCGACATGTTAATATACATGGTACAGACCATTTTACTTAGTTTGATGTCAAACTGGTATGCTCCCATTAAATATTAAAAAACAAAGTTTTATATAGTGATGATGCGAAAGGGCATTTTCCTCAGAGGAACCAAAGCAGCAAAGTCCCTAGAATGTTACTATTTCTGTTACTGAGGGTTTGTTTTAACTTTCTTAAATTCCTTGCAGTAAAGTATGGGATGCACTAACTGGTGAAGAGCTTCACTCCTTCGAACACAAGCACATTGTTCGTGCATGTGCTTTTTCTGAGGTTATATTCTCCCTGACTTACTGTAACCATTTTAAAGCTTCATACCCTCTCCTCTCTCTTAATAAAATCTTTTCATTTCCTGCTATCATTACCCAATTGGTTGCTTTCGGTATGCAGAGAGCAATGGTGATTGTTTTTTGGGTTTAACCTGCAAACACCCGCCACTTCATATTCACTATTGATTTTTTGATTATGTCAAATTGTCAATTATGACAGACTGACATTACATGTGGCCGCATGAAGTGACATGAATTCTATTAGCTTAGTTTCACTACCTAGACCTAGAATCCTATTTTTGTAGGGAACAAAATACATCTGCGACAACTTTATTATATGTTTATTGATTTTTGAGTGCAAATTATACGAACCAGCCCTAGATAGTGTTTATTGAACTATCAATCTGCACATTTCTGGTCATTGCAACAATCTTTTCAAAACACAGGTGTAATTGATATTAGATACCTGTTGATCTGCAGCCTTGCAACGTTCTGACCTCTTAGTTTTTAGAATGCAAAAATTGTACCTTGCAACTTTCCTTGACTTTTATGTCATCTTTCTGGTTCACTCTTGGAATAAGCACAAAATTGTTGATAAACATTGCCTTTTAAGCTCTAAGTGATGACGCACGCACGCGCACACACTTGAAATTTTTTTGAGATGATTATAGAAACCATCTCAAAGCAGCTGTAAGCATGCAAATGTATCCTAATAAATCATTTGAAGATTTTTCTTTAAATCCTTGAGAATAATTTTGTCTAACACTGTTTGTTGCCTATTTTGTCATTAATTTCCACTTTGCTGGTCAAAGTTTTCTTTCATTCATAGAGAAGCCTGATTAAAATGCTAATGTTCTTTCAGGACACCCACCTGTTACTTACTGGAGGTCTTGAGAAAATTTTACGTATATATGATATGAATCGCCCAGATGCAGCCCCAAGAGAGATTGACAAATCTCCTGGCTCTGTCAGAACTGTTGCTTGGCTTCATAGTGACCAATCTATATTAAGTTGCTGCACTGATATGGGTGGCGTAAGGTGTGTCTGAATTTCCTTTTTTTTTCCCAGCTTAGGGTTGCTTTTTTCCTTCCCTGTTATGATTACTGTCGTGGTGTAGAAGTTTGATTACAGTAACAAAAAGACAGACGTACTGTTGCCCACAGAGTCCACATTTTGTTCTGATTTTGTGGGTGTTGGACCTTGTAAACTGCAAGAACAAAATATTAGCACCTAGGGTAACACCTACATCCTTGAATGTCATTTCCTTTTAAATTTTGTGGGTGTTGGACCTTGTAAACTGCAAGAACAAAATTAGCACCTAGGGTAACACCTACATCCTTGAATGTCATTTCCTTTTAAATTTTGCTTAATTTTTTTTCATTATTAAGACTTGCAAGTTTTAGTTCTTCTCTTCTCTAGGAAGCAAACCCTAATCTTCTCTCTTTAAATAGCAAACCTATCTAAAGTAACCAGTGTGTGAATCCATTTGGGGACATGTGTTCAGGACTCCAAGAAACTGGCATGTAGGGATCTGACCAATGAGGTTGACTATTTATCTCCAAGGGATCTTGTCTAAAGATGTAATACTAGAAGAAGCATAAAATATGTTAAAAAACGTTAGTAGATTGTAATTAGCTGTATATTTTTTCTCTTCTTTGATTAACTTTTTGTTGCCTCTGAATAGGTTGTGGGATGTAAGGAGTGGAAAAATTGCTCAAACTCTTGAAACCAAGGCTACTGTTACTAGTGCAGAAGTAAGCCAAGATGGCCGGTACATCATTACAGCTGATGGTTCCAGTGTCAAATTTTGGGATGCAAATTAGTAAGATATTTTCTATTCAAAGCGTTGTTGGTAGTATTAATTGGGATTAGCTCATTTATTAAAATATTTCCTGGTTATTCTTCAGCTTCGGACTTGTTAAGAGCTATAATATGCCATGCAATGTGGAATCAGCTTCTCTTGAACCAAAGTATGGGAACAAATTCATTGCTGGTGGAGAAGACATGTGGGTCCATGTCTTTGATTTCTTCACTGGTGAAGAAATAAGTAAGTACTTATTACTTTTGAGGCTTAAATGAAATGTTTGAGCCCAACAGTTGTTTCTGATTATACCTGCAAAAGTAATTTCTTTTATGGGAACCTGCAAAAGTAATTGATTTGGTTTTCTTAATGATGCCAACTTCTTCAAGTTTTTGGAGTTGTACATGCCCTAGAAATCGTTGCATGGTAGGTTATGCTTTGTTTTGGCCTGCCACCCACAATGAGCCCATTCTGTTATTATTTTGACCTGTGATGACTTTCTCAGGAAGTACGAATGCTAAATGGTCCAATTTTTTTGCAAGTACAAATCGGGCACACACCACACTAACGCGCAGTCGCTGGGTGTGTCCTACCACACTTGTGCATGTGTATGACTTGAACCCGGGTGGGCAGGTCCTCTGTTTCCATTTTCTCCCTTTCGCATGCCTGGTTGAGTTTTAACATGTGGCTATTTGTTTAAATTATGGAATGATAACAAATAAAATTTCCTACTCCCTAAGTCCCTATTTGATGCAATTGTTGTTCATTCAATGTCATCGTTACGGAAGTTTATTATTTTAGAAGCTATGCACCTAACTGTTGTTATTGAAAACAGCTTGCAACAAAGGCCACCACGGTCCAGTCCATTGCGTCCGGTTTGCTCCTGGCGGCGAGTCGTATGCATCAGGATCAGAGGATGGAACCATCCGAATCTGGCAGCTGGGCCCAGCTACCAGTGACGAGCAAGAGTCGCCGCCGAATGCAAATGGGAAGCTGAAGGTCAACACGGTGAGTGACGCTGCTCGCAAGATCGAAGGCTTTCACCTCCCCAAGGACGGCCAGACTGAGGGATAGATACTAGTGCGGCACCGCTTTGATTCATGCCTGGGAATGTGATGGTTTGAGATTTGTGTTGTCAAAGCTGGTGTTGCCTGTCTTGCTTCCCAATTTCCCTTTGATGGATGGTATCCTTCCGAACCAGGTGGTTTTGCAGCCTTGAGAAAAATGGTGGGTTTTAGTAACAGCAATGGTATTTCCAAAAGAAGATAGAGAGAGAGAGAGGCCCCGGGGGGGGGGGGTGAAATTTTGTATGAGGCCTCCTAACTCCAATAGTCACTGCCAATATCTAATGCCAAAAGGTTGAAAAATTATAATTTCGTTTGCATTATTGTTTGTGTTAAAAAGTAGCTGGGTGGCTCTAAACCAGCAAAGCTGCAACGGCTAGAGCCAACTTATCCCGTTATAACCATACAAATCAATCCATATGGGGCAACTAAAGATTAAAGATAACCAACCATACAAAGACTTTCATGTGCCACAATCAGGTTAGAGGTGAGCGTCATATCTCATAAGAAACACAAAAGATGTCGTCCAATCAAAATTCGCCAAATTTGGTCCATAATCAGAAAATTTGGAGGACTGATCACACACCCAAGCTGAAGTGGTGAACGTACAACCACAAGACAGACACAACAACACACTCCTGTTCCTACCCTAACAATAGATTAAAAGATCAAAAACAATTTGCAAGTACCACAAAACCCAACAATCCGTAATCACCTTGGTGCATCCACCTAACAAAAGTGCCAATTCCAAAGGAGCACCAAATTAATCTATTCAAGCTCAGTCGGTTGAAATCCTGGACACCCTGGGAACAACCACGGGGAACCGATCGATCTCATCCATCCACGGGTTCTTCTTCAGCGCCTCCTCCTCCGGGTCCACCGACCGGAGCGCCCTCCACACCGCGCTGTTGCACTTGAACCCGGACCCGAACGCGATCTGCCACACCCTGTCCCTCCTCCTCACCCTCCCCTTCGCCTCGCTGTACGCCAGCTCGTACCACAGCGAGCTGCTCGACGTGTTCCCAAACCTATACAGCGAAAAAAAGAAAAGACGTGAATATTAAAAAATGATCTATTTTAAAATGTAAGTTATTCTAACATTTCTCACATTTATATTGATGTCAATAAATCTAGATAAATATGTATGTTTAGATTCATTAACATCAATATGAATATGAAAAATGCTAAAATAACTTACATTGTGAAAAGAGGGAGTATCAAATAATTAGAATGGACGAGACTTCGAACCAGGTCGTGTTTTTCGAACCTGTACAGCGTCATCCGTGACGGCTCCATCTGCCACTCCCCCAGCGACAAGTTCTTCTCGATCTCGTCCAGCACCGCCCTGCCGCCGGCGTGCACGCAGAAGTGCTCGAACGCCAGCTTGAAGTCGGGGATGTAGGGCTTGACGTTCTTCATCTTGAGCAGCTTCTTGGCGACCAGCGTCGCCATGAACAGGAGCTGCTCCGACAGCGGCAGGACGAGGGGACCCAGCGTCGTGATGTTCGTCTTCAGCGCGTCGCCGGCGACCGCCATGAGGTCCTTGGACAGCGCGACGCCGACATTGCCCTCGCCGTCCTCCTCCTGGGTGACGCAACCGAAGCACTTGTCGTCGCCGCCCTTGTGCGTCCGCACCGTGTGCACCAGCTCGTACTTGGACCGGCGCCTCTCCGACCACCTGTTCGACAGCAGGATCGCCGCGCCGCCCATCCGGAAGAGGCAGTTGGACACCAGCATCGACCGGTCGTTGCCGGAGTACCAGTTGAGCGTGATGTTCTCCATGCTGATGACGAGCGCGTACGAGTTTCGGTGCACCTGGAGGAGGTCCTTGGCGAGATCGATGGCGAGGAGGCCGGCGCTGCAGCCCATGCCGCCGAGGTTGTAGCTGACGATGTTGCCGCGGAGCTTGTAGTGGTTCACCACCATGGCGGACAGCGACGGCGTCGGGTTGAAGAGGCTGCAGTTGACGACGAGGACGCCGATCTCCTTGGCGCTCACGCCGGTCTTGGCGAGGAGGTCGTCGACGGCGCCGAACATGACGGCCTCGGCCTCGCGCCGCGCCTCCGCCATGCTCGGGTTGGGCGGCTCCCGGAGCACGGCGGCGGGGAGGTAGGTGTCGTCGCCGAGGCCCGAGCGCTCGACGATCCTGCGCTGGAAGTCGAGGCTGGCGGCGGTGAAGCATCCGGCGAGCCTGGAGCACCGCATGAAGGCGTCCCGGCTGCACCGGCGCTCCGGCGGCGGCTTGTAGCAGGCGAAGTCGACGAGGTAGACGGGGCGCGGGCGGGTGAGGAAGCGGACGGTGGAGAGGAAGACGAGGAGGGTGGTGCAGGCGACGACGGAGACGAGGTTGAAGCGGAGGTGCGACCAGAGGCCGGCGACGTCGCCGGCGGTGAGCGTGGAGAGGTGGACGGCGACGAGGGCGATGAGCGGCGTCAGGAGGAGGTACACGCCGTTGGTGATGAGGTAGTGGTACCCCAGCTTCACGTACTTGAGCCGCACCGACTGCTGGAAGTCCGGCAGCCGCCGCCGCTCGCCGGCGCCGGCGCCGTCATTCGCTGCCTCGGCGTTGTTGTCCATGGAGACCTTTTGGTAGGGGAAACGCAGATTTGTCAGAAAAAAAAAGTGGAATTTTTTTTTTTTGGGGAGGGGGGGGGGTGGAATTCGTTCTTGAAATCAAGAAGCTAAGAAATCCAATCTTTTCCCTCATGTCAGTAAGTTATTGGTAATAATAATACTGGTTTAAACTTTTTTAAGAATTCAATTTCATTCAGAACAGCAATGAATCACAACTGAAGAAGCACCAGGAAACTTCACAGAAATGAATATTCTCTAACCCAAAAAAATGGGAATTTTCTTTGAGTTATTGGTTGTCTTTTAGTCCGCTTGGACCAATAGACCGAGACAAAATAAGGGCCAACTGGTTACTTCGTGGTGGAGCACCACATACTAATAAAATCTCTGATTTCATTTCCCTTGTCAAAGCTGTCATAAATCTCAAAAAGAGATCACTACTCCAAACAAGATGGAACAAACTTAAAAATCAAATCCTAAAATTTACCCTGCTAATAAAAATTCACAACCCAAGAACATGGCTAGCTGGCTACGAACAGCATAGGGAGAAGAAGAAACCAACGAGCTTTCAACGCAGAGATCACGAGGCAGCAGATAGAGAGAGGTGAGATCTTGGAAACCGTACCGGTAAAAAAACGAAGCAGAACGGAGACCACGACGACGGCGAAGAAGACGCAGACGATCTCGCCGCCGCCGCTGTGTCGCACTGGCTTTTCGCGAGCGGTTGCACGTAGGAGGAGAGGAGAAGACTGGGGGCTCGTATTTATGGAGAGCGTCGGCGAGAGGCGACTCGGAAAGGAGACCGGAAAGACGCGGAATAAAACGGCGATTTTCTGGCTTAGCGAAAACGTGGAATCGGTGTCTTTAGGAGGAGCGGAAGGTTCATGCCTTCTTGACAATCGTGAGGCGCCTTGACCAATCGACGTCGACGTTACAGTACTTTCTTTCTTTCTTTCTTCTTTGTTTGTCCCCAGCATAATTCGAATTACGAACGATTAATAAACGATGAAATTTTCAGAACAGAAACGATGAAAAACAGTAATGAACTTTGTTGTGTTTTATTTAGTTTCGGATGAAGGGTTTGGAGTGGGAACGTGCCAGTTGCCTAACTTGGTGGTGTTTAAAAGTTGGTGTACGTAAAACGAGAAAGTAATTAGCATATAATTAATTAAATTTTAATTATTACAAACTGACAAATATATATATTTAATATTGTAAAACAACTTTTATATAGAAAATTTTGGGAGTAGCTATATTTATGGTGCCATATTTTTCAAAAAAAAATAGTCGGCGTGTATTTACATTGTAAGTCCCTAAATTACATATGTAAGTTTAGTATATTTATAGTGTAAGTTTAGTAAATTACATATGTAAGTCCCATAATTACATAATAATTACATATGTAAGTGATGTGTAAGTGAGATATAAGTGGGGTATAAATTTAAATTTTACATTGGAAAAGTTATAAAACAAAAGCATATGCAGCCCTTACTTTATAGGATATGATCAGGAGGAAATCGAACGGTCGCGAACAGGCACAGCCGAAGACACGTAGTCTCGCACGGAGCAATCGGACGGACATTAAAGCCGACTGAGATCAGCCCAAAAAGATGGCAAGTCCGAAAATTTTTATACGAAATATACCGTTTAGTAGTTTGGAAAACGTGTTAACAAAAATCGAAATAAAATCTAAATCTTACTTCCTCCATTCTATGATATAAGTGATTTTGAAGTATGTGATATCTCTTATTACTACCAGGAATCTGATTAAGTTTCCTGTTCAGGTTCATAGTACTAAAAATATTACTTCCATCTAAAATTTTTCATACTACGTGACAGAGGGAGTAATGAAAACCACAGGCGCGTGACCAAAACCAGTCCATAGTGATTTTTCTCTAGATGCCGATGAGACCACGACGCGTGCTACGGAGTCCTACGTGAACATGTGAGCTGAGGTTCTCGGCGTACGTGGTGACTCACGCGCGCGCGGTGCGGTGCGCATCGTCAGCGATCGAGTAGCTGAGCTAAGCTACCTACCGACCGGCCTGATCGGATCAGAACGGGCGCCAGATATCGCACGTGCATGGCATGCAAATTTCGACGCGCGACGACGCCGCACACGAGACGTCCCGCTTGATTGAGTTGAGCCACACATAGCTTCTAGAAGGCGAAGGTTCATTGTACGGCGTCGGTCAGCCAGGCATTGACCACCGATCCGTCCGTCCGTCCGTCCGCCTCGTGTCACGGCCGTTACGGACTGACGGCGATACTTTTGCCTCCGTTCCGTGAGAGGCATCGATGACGTGTTCGAGGAGATTAGCAAAGCACTCTCGTGTGTGCGTGCGTTAGTTCTTTTTAAAGCACACTACAAACACGCGTGTATAATCAGCCATACGAACACTATGATCATCTATAGAAGACCGAACCATTATGTTTTGAGATTAATAAAATCACCACAAATATTTTGCTATGGACGAATATATAGATTGAGCCAATATGTTTTGAAATTGTGACGAAATCACCACGATGTTTTTCTATGGGCGAATATGTCTCTTACCACTTTAAAGATATAGTTAGCAATAAATACGTACGGGGAAACTCTGATGAACAGTAATTAAACCGTCCGAGCACCCATACGTGCATGCTTTTTCAGTATATTACTGTTACATATTACATACAGGAATCGTTACATATTTGGTTTGCGTTCTGAAAATAAATGTATATATGTGTCTGGGTCTACCATCTCGTACATGTTGGCGTCATTCAGTTCTTAATCTTTCATCAACAACAATAATATAAAATATTTTTTTCTTTTCACGAAAATATAAATACCCCAGCCGTGCTTAACATGCCAGTGGCAAATTCTATTATACCAAAACCGAGAAAACCAGAAAACATAACACTAGCGCCAATTGCATTGAGCCTACCCGGAAAAAGAAAGGAATAAGTTCAGGGTCAGCGAGTTTAAAATCCATTCCTAAACCGCAATACTAGTTACAACGTATCTATCAATTTGTAAAACCGGTGTATCTTAGATCCCATGGGAGTATAGTGTCGGGTTTCGACTGATGTGGTGGTTGAGTTAGCATGAGACCCACTTGTCAGACAAATTCAGTTTAACTAAAAACTAAAAATTGGTGGACCTCACATGCAAGTAACATCTTCTCATTCCCCTATTTCTCTGTTTCTCTCCCTTTTCCTCGGCGGCGTCAGTCCGGGAGAAGGGCGCTGCCGGCGTGAGAGCAGACGTTGCGTGTGGCGCGCGAGGCCACATGGTGTGGGCGGCGGAGAAGGAGGGATGGGGGATCGTAGGATGGCTCCGGTGGCGAGCAGGATCTACCGACGACATCGACATATGGGCATTGCCGTCGACGAGTTCATCGCTGCCGCCGACACGTTGGGAGGAGGAGGACGACTTCCTCAGTGTGCTGCGAGCACTACGCAATGCCGCACGAAGGGTGGAGGCCGCTGCCGCTGGGCGACTGTGACGATGAAGGCCCCGCGTATCACGCGCTTGTGCGTCGGATGCTTGCGTGGATTGGTGTGCTCTCGTTGTCGATTCGGTTTTTGCCGGCCGGCTTCATCATATCCCCGCCGCCCGTGCCCCGCAGGGTCTGTTTGCTCCCATGCATGACGGCATCGTCGATGGTAAATCACTGCTCGGTTTTGCAGCTCCTTGTAGTTAGTGTTCGTGGGTTTGTGGGTGCTTACGAGGGAGGTGGAGATGGTGCAGAGCGAGGAGAGGGATCGCGCGCGTGGCTGGCGGTGTCGCCGGCGAGACCCCAGGCGTGGATCAACCGGGAGAACGTGGCGTGCCCTGCGGTCCGATAGAGACAATGCGGATGCCGGATGCGGATGTGTGGGTGCTACGGTCTGCGCTCGGCTGGTGGAGCTCGAGGTGCGGCTGATGTCCGTCGGTCGGTTCAACCTGTGGCTCTAGCGCGCGCTAGCTGCTGCAGCACGGCGTGTTCGTCGCCATGGAGGCGAAAGCTTGGGGCCCCGGCCGTGGGGGACGGCTGCGCGGCGGTGGTGCTCGCGCTAGTACGCTTGAACAAAGACGTATTCGTTCAGCGTCCGCCTGGCCGGCAGTGCTGCGCGCACTGAGAGAGAGTGGCTGCTAACATGTGGGGTCTACATGGATTTCACTCGCCACATTAGTCAAAGCCGGTCACTGTATTGTCCAGGAATTAAAGTTGGCACAATATCGTGAGTTGGCTATACATGGTATATTGGTTAAGGGACAAAGTTTAGACTCGACGACATATTGGAGGACCTAAAGTAAACGTATTTAACAAAGAAAAAAAAGAAAATACTATATTGGGCCCCAACAATTGCCTAGACAGCATAGGCTGAGACCTTTATAGAGACAGGTATGAGTAATAAAGATGTGTCGTAGCCTCGTAGGTAGTAATCCCTCCATCCTGAAATATAACAATCTAAAAAATAATTGAACACAACCTAGTATAATGTATTTGAATATGAGTGTAGATATATCTATGTCTAAATGTTAGATTATGTCTAATCTTCTTTTAGATTTATATTTCAGGACGGAGAAAGTACATATTAGAGCGGACGATGGTGAAGGCATGAACTGAGTGAAATCATTTTTTTGGGTTGGTGATCAACCTCCCAAGTCCCAAATAATCATGAGTACTGGCTACGTGTACGCATAGCATAGTCATGACAGCTAGGCGAAACTTGGATGAGGAAGCTCGTCAGCTTTCCACTATAATTAGTGATCATCTCTTGATAGATTTGGCTCCTAACACAAGTTATTGTCATTTTCCCTCGAAATCTGCTGGCCACATATGCAATTGCCATTCACACATATACCAGAGAAAATAAATTGGAGCGACAAAATTAATTTATCTGCTCATGTATATAAGATATTGCAGAAAAACAAATAGCAATGAAAATAAGCACTATCTGCATCACCATTAGATAACAAGATGCAATAGAAGATAAACAATCTGCTTTCACCTATTTGTTACATTACCAAAATATTTGCTAGCAATAACTCTGTTAGTTAGAGCGTTAGTTAGAAAATAAAATTAATTTGCTTGTGGTAAGGTGGAAGCATTTTTATTTGGTTGTTATTGTGAAGATGTTGTTACGGAGTTGTTGAAAGGTGGAAGCATCTTTATTTGGTTGTTATTGTGAAGATGTTGTTACTTAGTTAGTAAATTGGAAAGATTAGAGCTTCATTTTTTTCATCTCAATTATTATACCATAATTTTATCATGCTTGAAATTTTAATCTATAAAGAATAACTGTGACTACTTTTTTATGCCACACATGAGATTTGACCGACGACTCATCCTCTCGCTACTCTCAGTCACACCCCACTCATTGTTGGTTGGTGGTGGGCTTAGACTCTGTTTTGCCCATGCCATATTTTCGTTATATTGTAGCACGTTCAGCTCTAGTCGCTGATATCTCTCGACACTATTGCGATAGAATTAGTGAGAAATATTATATGTGTACTACTCATCAATCTATGTGAAGATTACCTTAACAAGGAGGAATACCTCAATTAGAAAAAAAAACATGGTGAACATGATGTTAATTATTGGGGAGATGAGAGTGACACCATACCGGGGAAGTGTACTGCACAAACGTGCGCGAGACGCGAACAGATTCAAAATTAGTTTTTCTACCGCATGGCGAGACGGATTCTAAAGTTCCCTGTTTTGGTTAGCCTACCGTGAGTCCGTGGAGCTGTCAAAAGCGCGAGTATTTCACGAGTCGTGTGTCTGGGCCTTATGAGCTTGACTTCATAA